TGATCATTAAAAACTCTTGTGCATTTAGTTTCATACTGGTATAGTTTAAACCAGGGGTAGTCAACCTTTTTATACCTACCGCCCACTTTTGTATCTCTGTTAGCAGTAAAATTTTCGGAACCGCCCACCTGTTCCACAGTAATGGTGATTTATAAAGTAGGAAAGTAACTTTACTTTATAAAATTTACAAAGCAGAGTTACAGCAAACCCCCACCGGCCACCATGAAAGCTGGAACACCCACTAGTGGGCGGTAGGGACCAGATTGACTACCACTGGTTTAAACTAAATTACTAAAATCTCTACCAAAATGTGAAAAAATGAGTGGTCATTTACTAATGCAGTTTGTTTTGAATTCATTCAATTTCTTTTAATAAGTGTATACATTCTTATCTTCAATATTAAGCAATGTTATTAAAATTAAAAATGGCACCATCTTGAAACCACACTTGAAATTGGTTTGGGAATCATGTTTCTTTAACAAATGTATTGTTATCAATTATAATCCTTTTGCAATCCAATAACAGAAAAATAAATGTAGCAACTTTTTCATGAAGATATGTTGTTATAAAATAATGCAAAATATTATACCTTCAAGTCACTTATCACACAATAAATGAACTTTAGCAAGATTTTTTTTTATTTCAAGGATTATAAAAATGATTAGTAATCAGGGCCTATATTATTTTAATTTTAGCTGCACAAAACCACTAATAACCTTGATGGAATTTTTTTTTCAGTTTGCTCCCTAGCCAATGACTAAATAAGCACTTTGCTACTAGAATTCCATCCCCCCCCATTTTTTGAGCAATTTCTACTAACAAAACATAAGCAGTTCTATTGAACTGATACACTTGGCCAATAAAACAAATAAATGAATAACATACTGTATAACGAAGTGTTAGTATCTACAATGGAAACTTTCTAGTATGATTATATCAACTCTTTATACAACAAAGGGAATATTTGTATAACTTTTTTCTAACATATTCTTTGTATTTAACTATAGTCATTTGAGATTTTTTGAGCAGGTAAAATGTCATTATTTTGCTAATCTACAATGTGTCACTAGGGAAAGAGGATTAAAACAGCATTTTCCAAGCTATAATATAGGCCTAAATACAAAAGCTTTAGAAGATAGGTGATGTAATTTATTGTCTATTAGATGATAAAACTTGTTATCATTATATAGTAAAAATAAAAATCAGGAAAAAATGTTTTCTCAGACCAGTTATTTCTTTCAAAATAAACGTCTTAAAGAACAAAAAAAAATTCAGAGAAAGATGGAATAACAATTCAATAATCATCTTAATACTTAAATTCTAATGCTTAAGACCTTATTTCTTGACTAAACTGTCAAAACACAGATAAGTGAATTTATAAATGTTATTTTAAAAATCACAATTAGTGGAAGAGGAGCCAACGTCAAGAGGATACGGACGTGCAGTCTCGATGCTCCGAGACCGCAGCCAATACTTTTGCCACTGGGTGGTCCAATAGGACCTAAACCGTCCTCAAGAGACAGTGAACAGGAAGAATACGTCTTGCTGACCTCAGGGACATCACAAAGTCCCTGATCGATGCAAGAGAAGTTCTTCAAGCCAGCAACAAAAAATCCAGCCAAGGCTGACGAAGTCGGGGCGGCTCCAAAATGGAAGGATATGGAAAGAGAAAGTATTCCCAGCTGGTGAGGAACTTTTACTGTTTTAAAAAGAGACTGCTTATAAAAAAACTTAAAATTAATTTAAATTGGAGAACAGAAGAATCAAGCGGCGGAATTAAATTTGGAATGGTTTTGGACAGTGGTTATCTTACTTTTTAAATGCTATCTTCATGGATGGAATTTATGCAAGACTTTTAAAATGAATGGATTAAGTTTGCGTCTTCTATTTTTTCTTTTATTATTCTCTATAATCTATGGTCTAAAATTTCCCTCTTTCATTACTGTGGGTGTTCTTCTAACCCCTTTTAAAAATTGGACTCTTTTTTCTAACTTGAAATACAAAAAAGATACAAAAAGAAATAAGGAAATTTGCAACAATAACACTGCTACTCGAAGGCTGGAAGGTTTGTGTATTGGAAATGGAACACTTTTTTTCTTCACTGATTGTTTTGGCTTGGCACTACAAGGTCTCACTGCTTGGTTATAGAGAGTGATAAGAAGGGAAGCATATAGATGTCCCTTTGAAGTATATCTTTAACCAGAGGAAAGTGAAAACAAAAGATTTTTGTGAATCTATGCTTAATTTTATTAACCTTCCAAGCTAGAGCAGCTGTGTTTGTTAGCTAGAGATAATGGCACAATTTCAAAAGCAAACAGAAATCTTAAGCTTGCAAAAGATATTTTCAGAAATACAGAAATTATCAAATACATATGAGAGGATAGAGAAGAAGCTGGAAGATTTAGAGCATATAACAGACAAAATATGATGAAGAAGTTGAAGATATTTATCAAATGGAAAATGCAGTGGTTAAAATCCAAAAAATCTTAGTGGAAAATGAATATAAAGAGATTACATTTGCTGGTGATTGGTTTGTCTCTGAAAATGGAAAATGGAAAGAATGGAATACTGAAAGAGGAATTAAATGGAGGGGAAATTTATCCCAGAGGGCAAGATACAGAAGAAAAAAACCAAAGAATCTATGGATTTAAAGAGAGAAAATTTATTAGCAATAGCATCGATAACACTGACAATCAAAGTTAAGCTGACTAATGAAACAGAAGAAGGGCATCAAGATTACATGAGAGATCTTATAAGCAAGGAGTTGCTAAGAGGAGTCCATACAAAGTTGTTCAAGGAGATGATTAGAGGACTGGCACCACAAATGGCAGAAGATATGAGACTGTTTTGCGATTGGAAAGATATAGGTTGATAGATGAAAGAATATAATTTAAAACTAGTTAAACTTAGTGAAATTTATTGACAATTATCAAAATAATTGATAATGTTACTAATGTATACAATGTGTAGTGTTATGATGAGTATTATTGGACATGAATATTTGAATGGTACCCATGTAAGGAAGATTAGAAATCCTTTTGGATTATAGGTATTGGATTAAGGTTAATAAAAAAGAACCAAGTTGGATACAGTTAAAGTTTTGAATCATGTTATGATTCAGGATATAAACAAATAAAGGAGGGATAAGAATAACAACGTATATATAGATATGGGTATAACATAAGGAAACTGGGTGTAAATTTTAAACAGTGATTTGAAAAGGAGGATTAGAAAACTTTATTATTAAATATTATGAATGTTTAGCTACAATAGGACATAAGAATTTAAGGTTAGTGGAGGATTTTAGAAATAGTAATTGAAAGGCCAGTATGTGGTTATGTATTAAATTTTGGTATATTTTATGATGGATGCTTAAACAATTATAGTCAAATAAAAATGGAGATATGATGAAGGTGACATGTATAAATATTTGAGTTAAAATGATTGAGTTAATATGAATTATGTTTGTTGACTGTGGAAGAGATGCATGAAAGTCTTTTTGTAACCAACTGATACACTTTCTACAGCATGTAAAGAAGGATGTTGTGTTTTAAATAAAAAAATAAAAAAATATTTTAAAAAATCACAATTAGTTTCTAACTAGATAATTAGACAAAGATATTATTCTGTAATAATTTCTAATCTTGTCCTTCATTTCCATATTTATATAAAGGGCCTAATACCAAACAGGAATTAATCACCAGGCCCTCCCATGATAAAGAATCTAGAACAATTACTTAATCAAAACAGCATGTATTAACCAATCCTTCAAAAATCACTAGATCTTTCCTTTTCCATCAAACACCATTTTAAAGTTAGGGAATTTTATGTCACAATTACATAATGAACAAAATCTTTCTAGATTAAAAAAAGTTACATTGTCAAAAAGTAGTTTAAACAGAACTGGATGAGCCTATAAAGGTTTTGAAAACAAGTAACGATACTTTATATTTGAAAAAGTAAAAGTGAAGATAAATGTATTGTTATCCAAAAGAATTTGAATAACTATCAATAAATCTATTATGGCACGAAAATATTTCAGTCAATTTGAATTTTTTGAATATCTTTGGTGTACATTCACAATAGATATAAACAATAATCAGGTAATCAAATTAACACATTAAACAGGTAATTTGCATTTGAGGTCTCCAAACCTTACTAGCATATGAGAGATAATGGTGGCGGGGGATGGAAAGTTCACAAACCAAAGGCCGTGATATTTGTAGTTTGGTCAAATGTTTAAGAACTAGGCTAGAAAGCAGGAGACCATGAGTTCAAGTCTTGCCTTAGCCATGAAAGCCAGCTGGGTGATCTTGGGCCAGTCACTCTCTCTCAATTCAGCTCACCTCACCCAGTTGTAAGTATGATACTGTATGTTTATTTTCAGGATATTGTCTTGCAGATAAAGAAGACAACTCACTATTTAGGGTTTATTTGATTAGTCCTAATAAGTATCACTTTGGTATTTTATAGTAATTTCACTTGCCTTGTATGAATATGGTTTTTAAAATATATTTTAATTATACATACACATATATACAATGGAAACATTTCTTTCAATAAATGCTATTTCAACAAAGGTGTTTATGATTTTATCATTATTTCACAAATGTTTGAAAAATGCAAATTATGTTGTTTGATTTTAAAAACTGAAGGCAGTCTACTAGTCATCAGTAATTACCAGAAAAACATTTACATTTTCCAAGCAATTATTTTTCTTTGCTTACCTAATAGAACTTTGCACTAGTAAAGCAAGCTGCATGAAACAATCATTTTGTATTTGTATTTATATTTCTTCTCCAACTGCTACCTTCTTAAACCTGTTCAATATCTATATCTTAAATGTTTTCCTAATTGTGTCTTCTTTAAACCTATATATTACAAAGCAATCTTCTTCTGAGGGCAATTACTAGATTTAAAATGCTATTCAAATATTTCTGGAGGGATTTAATAAACAGGATAAAAACATGCAATTAACAATATTAACGCAACAGTAATACCTATTATAACATGCATTCCAAGTCTTGCCAAATTCTTCACAGTATGGTAACCAATTCCTTTACTTCCTCCAGTTACCAAGGCAACATTACCATTTTGAAGAGGAAAAACTGTCCAAAAAGACAAAATAAAATAGTTAGGAATTGTTTTGCAACAAAAAATTGCTCATCAAAACAGAAGTATCTGTTTTGACCAACTGACCAACATTCCATCAACATTTCACATGTTAATTATAATGATGCTTGTAGTTGCAACTGTTTCCCAGGGCACTTCATATAGCAGTACAATATTAAGAAAAAAAAATTAAATCAATATTATCAAAATTGTTATTTTGTGAAATGTTTCTCAATCATATTTTATAGGCCAATAACTGACTGTTGCAGCAAATAATAATGAAATATACCGTTTCCCCGAAAATAAGACCTCCCCAGATATTAAGCCAAATCAGGTTTTTAGATGCATATGCTGAAATAAACTCTCCCCCAGAAAATAAGCCTTCCCCCAAAATATTGCCACACAGCAGCAACCATGAGGTGACCATGCTCACCGCCTCCTCCACCCTAAAAATAATAAGACCTCCCCAAAAATAAGGCCAAGCACTTATTTCGGGGGTCAAAAGAAAATAAGACCCTGTCTTATTTTCGGGAAACACAGTGTAATGTAATGTACCATTTAACTTGTTGATTTTAATATAGAATGCCACATTAAATAAAACCAGTGAACTACGCTGAAATGGTATATTAGAAAAGGTATCGGTACATATGTAACACTAAATTTCACAGGCAGAATTAATCTCTTAGAAACAATTTGTTTCTTCAAACAAAAATGTTTACATTATCCCTTGCAACAGTCTATTACTCACTTTTCTATTTCAATTTGTATGTCAAATTTTCAGGCAATACTATATCATATATAATATGTGCAAAAGTCACATCTTCACTCAACATATTTTTGGTATTACCAAAAAATTCTCTATGCATTTATTTTTAAATTCATTAAACATCCAAGAAGAAATATTTATCTTACTCCCTAATATTGAATCACTAAAGAGTTGATTGATTTTTTTCATACATGCTTTATTTCTATCATATACCATATTCATCACACTCACCTTTCTTCACTCTAGTTGCATAAAATGTTCCATAATTTACATCAATGTTGTTTAACATATATTTTAAAAAGAATGACTATAAGCTTTCTCCAGTTCACACATTTCACAATGACTTACTAAAGAGAATACTTTTACCCTACACACTCCTTTGCCAGCTTTAAGGCGTTAAGAATACATTGTGGAGGCAAAAGAAAGGCGGAGTTATATATTAAGGTCTTTTAATGCACAATATCTGTCTGTTTAAATAAGTCCATCAGAAATATAGTTAAATTACAAATAAAATCAACTACTTACATTTATAAATTACAGTATTTAATAAATATCTTTCATGATTAGCTTGGAGTTTGCAGAGAATTTATTGATATAAAATAATGATAAATAGTAAATATACTGTTATACAGTTAACATACAAGTAATAGAAAAAATATTTAAAGCTCAGGGTTGATCTGCGGATTGATTATTTGGCAATTCTATTTAATTTGATAGATTACAATGAAAAACAACAAAACTATTCCTATAATCACAAATTACCTAAATTTGCTTCTTTCCCTGTGCTTTTTCATTATATGAAGAGAATTAGGTAATAATTTGAAATTAATTTTATACATTCATAAATGTTCAATATTATCAAGGGGTAGAAAAGTTTAGTGGATAAACTAGAGCATATACGTTGTAGAGTGTGAGCATTGTGACAACCAGAGAAAAATTATTCCTACCCCCTACCATTATATTATAATATAGTACTTAATACATGCACTTAATCAGAGTACATTATGAAACTCCTGGTTGTCATATATAACTTAATGGCTAAATTAGAGAGCAAATTTCTCTGTTTTGCTACCTTTTCTGGGATGGTCGCAATACTTACTTCCATATATATATATATATATATATATATATATATCGCATTATTTCATAAACTATTTTAATTGCCCAATTGATTCCAGGCAATGTTCAACATGTATCAGAAAACTGCAAAACAAATTAACCAATTAAGTGACCAATTAACCAATTAAAATTTTGGAAATGTTGAAAGCATATTTATCCCAAGTTTTTAGGAGATTATCTAAGAAAGAAAGCACAAATAAATAAGCAGTCCTCACAAGACTGCCTCATATCAACAATGGAGTATAAATGATACTAATTTCAATTTAGAAAGTAAAGAATCCCTTGAGCCCAGTTGATGAATTCATATATGGATCTCATTTGCCATTTCCTTCTTCCTTCGTTTTGTTATTTCCCAATTTCGCATAAAATCCTAGAGATTACAGAGAATATACACTGCCACTTTCAGAAGGATGACGATAAGCAGCTTCACACTTCTCAGCTGCCTCAAACCATGAGATGGGTGGATATATCGATAGATTGATATTCTTTATTTGTATTCTATTGATCATTGGAATTGCTCTGATAAAAAATATTATTTTACTTCAAAAAGTTTTTCTAGAAATAGTGCAGATAACAAGGTACATATACATTTTTTCTTTAAAAAGAACCTACATTTAGAAAAAAAAATTATTCAAACTGACAGATTTTGTCATCCTGCTATTTGCCTTAAAATTATGAAATGTATTGAACACTTGGGAAAAAAATCTGATCTTACTGAAGAATCAGTTGCATTTTACAATAATCTTTGAAGGATTAAACAAGACTGAAAAAACAAACAGAAGCAAAGGATAATTTAATATTGAATGAGAGCAACCTCTTCTATATTGAAAAAGATGAAATGTAATGTATTACACTGGACAAAAGCAGGAAGGATCTGAAGATCAAGGTACAAGATTGCCAGTTTTTGACATACAAGGAAAACAAATGAACAAAACACCCCAGAGCTTCCCTATAAAGTGCCTTGATGAGACAATTTAAAAAAGCCTAAATTATAGCAATAAGAAAGCCATCTAAATTTTTTAATAGACTTGAGTTTGTATATGTAAAACTTCAAATCCTGTTTGTATGAAAATATTTTGTGTGTTTTTTTGAACATAAAGAGATCAAGGGATCTATTACCACACACCCTTCCTTTGAAAATTAAGCCCATTTCACTTTTTGTTAAAAGATGAAAGACATCAATTTACTGTGGTTTTAGACTAGAACAGAGGCTGTTGAGTCATCTAAAGTCTAATAAATCAGGCAGCATGGAAACATAAATACTGCTGTATTAACAGACTTAGTAAAGATCAACACCTATTTTCCTGTCATATTATCGTCTATCTATTCCACTGGATATACTGCATGTGTTGCAGGCAAAAAAGGAAAATTTTGCAAATAATTTACTCTCTCTGGTCCTTAACAGCAAGTAAATAATCAATACAGAAGTTGTATAAGCAACATATGCCTTGGTAACAATCAGCATAAAATGTATTTGAATATAAGACATGTTATAATGTTCTTTGCTCTGCAGGATTGTAGAGAATACTCTGAAGTTGAAATTATATTGTATCTACTATATAAGAATGCTAAAGACAGGGGAAGGGAGGGAGGGAGGGTGAAATGCATAATCTTACCATCCATTTATTTTTCCATATTTGTGACACAAATCTAAATATTGTATCTGCCAATCTAAAGATCAGCTAGGCTCACAGATGCAGGTATAACACATGCCACAGTTGTAAAGACGTACAAGAGATTTCTCGTAATTAGATGTAACTTTTACACATGGCCCAATATTTAGCCAATAATCAGAGTGTGGCATGTTTTCTGTAGCTTCATTTCTTATCTGTCAGAGATGATCTAGATCAGTACACAATTTCCAATGTATATTTTATCACCATTGACACCAAGGCTAACTCTGAAACACACAATGCAGGAAGGTCCACCAAATATATGAATGCTAAAAACATTTGTCCAAGCCTTATTTTACTCTGAAACAAAAAAAAATGTTGGGATTTTAAGTGGGTAATGTCCATGACCATGAGTCCCTCTTAAAATTCATTTTAAATAACTGAAAAACCAAAAAGCAACAATGAGTCTTTCAGCTCCATAGATTAATACTTTATTACAGCTTAAGCTTTCGTGTATTCAGAGCTATCACATATATTAAATTTTAGCTTGTATTACAAGTATATAAGCACACTATGGCTTAATGCAGGAGATGGGACAGAAGGAAGTGAATAAGATGAAAATGAAAGCAAAAGTGGAGATCTTATTAATGGTATCAATGTCTATATAACCAATCTGCACTTTTTAGATTTGTCTTAATTATTTTTATATTCTGATTTTATATTCAATATATTCTCTTTGTATTGCTTCTATTAATTGTGAATATAAAGTAATAAGTGAAGTAATAAGTGTTTTTGTTATAGAAAAAGGCTAAACTCCTATAGCATTTCCTTAAAAATTCAATGTTAAAGTACTTTCTAACTGACTATGAAGATATAAGGACTTTTTGAATCCAGAGATCTGATTCCCTTCGTAGTCGGGCAGGTATTAAGATGTGAACATGAACTTCAACAAATGAACAGAAAATCTTACGGTTGTCCAGTTTAACACAGCAAAATAAAAAATAAAAACTGTTTCCTATGCTTCAGCAATTACAATTCAGTGCGCATTATCATTATTAAAGAAAATATTTTGAGTTCATCCCACCTTTTGTTGGCTTTTTTTCAAAATTTCTGATACTGACAGTTTTTTTTTTTTATTGTAACCAAAGTAGTCAAATTTGTACATAAGAAATTTATTTTGAGGCAGCATTCAGAGGAATAGACTAAGTACTTCTATAAAATGATATAGTGTCCCCAAAATCATGCCTCAAAGACAACTTATTATGAATTGGACTTTGGTGAAAAGATATTCTATTCAGTTAAAATTTTAGGAAAACATTTCATGATTTTTACTTCAAAATGTTTATTAAAATGAAGTATGGTTAAAAAATTACATAATAGAAATGGAAAGACTAGAATAGTATACTTTAGTACAATTGACTAAATATTACAATTTATATCATAATTAACTAGAAATATAAAGGCTCATAATATTCAAAAAATACATTTTGTATTTTGACAATTTTTCTTTCATTTTTCCAATTACAGTTGGAATTTTTGAAATGCGATAACCTTTTAAAGACTAGATTTATGCAGAAAATATTGTATGAAAAATCTATATCCACATGTAGAATTTAGAATGATAAGATTATTGAACAATTGAAAGTTATATGTTTCACCTGATATCTAAAGATGCTACTAGCTACTAATACTGTGACTGTGTAACTTATTTTACACTATAAAATTTGCTTTTCCAATTATAATTTTTTTTAATGTGTCCCGTTCATTTTAATGAAATATAAGATAAATAGATGTATTCTAATATGTGCAGACGTATCTTCACATTTGTTTCTTTCCTTCTATTACTGGGCATAATCACAGGTTGGCTGCAAATCTCATAAATTTCACAAAGAAAAGTGTCTGAAGCACTGTACAAATGTCTAAAACCAGTGGTTGGTTGCAGGCGGTACACTCTGGTACGGACATACTGGTGCCTGCCAGGAGCACCGGGTACCGTTCCGGTATGGTGCTCCGGAGGGTGTACCCACCCACCCTCCTTACCTGTATTTGAGCTCTTAGGCGCTTCCGCACACATGCACAGAGCACACGGTACCTGCACGACACTCCACCGAGCAGCTGGAGAGTCATAGAGGCATCACGGAGCGTCGTAGTAGTAAGTACGCATGCGCGTGCACTGCATGCGTTATGTGGTGGACACCGGGCCCAGTTGCACCATACCAGTTGCAACTGGATCCAGAACTCACCACTGTCTAAAATATTAATTTTAACATTTATAAGCAAAAATCTACAGATTTGAGTGACATGAGATGCCAAGATATTGATCTAGAAGCTAGTAGTAGAAGCTGGTAAATTTCATGTCAGGTATGACATAATAAGAACTATTACCATTTGGCACAGATGTTCCCATGCAACAGAAGTTTAGAATTTATGGAATAAATTAGCAAAGCAGATATATCAATGTGATATATCTGGTATGGTGCCTAGAAACATGATGCCATTTTATATACAGAAGTTTTCTTGAAGTTACAAATGAAAAAGCACTCCTAAGCTTTGCAAATGATTGCTTGGTAATAGTACAAGATACAAAACTAATGACTTGTAACAATATGGTGATATAATTCAACCTCATATTCATTTGCTGATAGAGCAATCTTAATATCTTTTGCTGTGATATGAATTTTGGAAAGGTTACATTTAGTACAGATGACAACAATGTTCTATCATTATTCCTTACCACAAACACAATATGGAGCTCCTGAAAAGAATATTAAAATTCAATTACATCAGAAAACAGGTTCCTATGGTTGCATTGTAGCATAATATATCCAGTACATGTGCCAAGATTTCACTATAACCAAATAAACATAAAAATCCTAACACTTCTATTTCAGGACACTTAACAACAAAGAAATAATCTGGTTGTCAGAAATAACACTTGTCTATTAAACATTAAATCCTTCACGTAATCAATCTCTGATAATTTGGCCTATAAAAAGCTTTAAATATTTAAATGTGTGAACACTTAAATCAAAACTTTTAAAAATCAAAAATTCTACATCAAAAACATTTTGCATGTTGACTTTAAGTCATATATTTGCTGAAAATATTGTTTAAAGGGATTGTATAGTAGGTGACCAACCAACTGTTTATAAATTACTATTTATACATCCTATTTCTAAATCAATGATAAAATATATCTGTAGCTTTTACTGACTCTATACTTATAACTTTTATGCCAGTTTGTCTTCTTGAATCACAAATCACAACCATGATCCAGACTCTCTCACATATTCCACATACAAAACCTACCCATGTTGAAGTTGTTCAATATGTACATTTTTAAAATAGTTTTTTTTTGGGGGGGGGGGGAGTGTAAGTTAAGACCTTTTGTCTGAAAGTCTATTGCTTCTATATGAGGCCATTATCCCGCATATTTAAAACGGTGCTGCTCCCATTTGCTGTGTTACTTGAATTAATCATATGATCCTGTTCCAATCCCCACTCTCCTTCATCCTCTTCATCAGGTTCAGCTTCAGATCCACTATGAGTATTCTCATACAGAAAAACCTGCTCATCCACGTGAGCTGGAGCTAGCCGATTTCTTTTAGCACTAACAACATTGGCTGAAGAACTAAAAAGACGCTCTGGAAAGATCCTTGTAGCTACAATGCACCAGTATTTCTGAAGCACCTTTGGCAAAACAGGAAACAAAGCAAGTCTATCAGACCACCACTTGAGGGGATCTTCACTGAGCCCAAGGACTTTCTGTGACTTGAAATTGCTCAGTTCCTCAATTACCTGAGCGTGCCACTCCTCTTGATCTTCAACACTCCCCGTCTGGCAAAAGATTTCTGCAAGCATATTATTAATAGCACTAGTAGGAGGAGGCGTGAAAGCAATTGCCGCTTTTTTCACGGGTGGCTCTTCTGACACTACAAATATTTTTTCTTCAGGCCTCGAAGTATTGTCTTTTATTTTTTCCAGGATACTTTTTGCTTCCTCCAGCACTCTGTTCTCAACCTGTTGTTTTTCAAAAGTCGAAAGAAAGGGCAATTTCTTGTATCTTGGATCTAAGAAAGTTGCAACATTGAGAAACATGTCTATCTCAGGGTTATGCTGATATGTTGTTGATAGTTCCTTGGCAATCACCTCCTTTGCCATGCTTATTTCTTTTAAGTCATTTTCTTTTATACTTAATGTTGTATTTAACAGCATGTGAAGAAGAGGTTTCATCATGCTTATTCTTGGGTATTTGGAAGAAGATATCATCTCAGCTACCTGCTTGAATGGCTGAAGCAAATCCACCAGCCCTTCAATTGTATTCCATTCATTAGCTTCCAGCATCAGGTGGTGATTATTGCTATCTTCCACAAGTACTGCAGCAATAACAAACTGTTGCTCTTTAAGACGTTGCAGCATGGCAAGTGTGCTGCCCCACCAGGAAACACGATCACTCACAAGCATGCAATGCAAACTATTCTGCTGTTGCTGCTTCTCACTCAACATATACATGGCTACTGCAGACTGCTGAAAATATTCCACCAGTTTTCGACATCTAGATAGAGCACTACTCAATTTAGGAAGCTGAAAAGCTTGCTGTATACCCACATTGAAAGTGTGACCTAAGCATGGCATCTGTACTGAGATGTCCAAAAGAGAGCAAGCTTTCACTACATCTTTCCCATTGTCTGTTGTAGCCCCAAAAACTTTGGTATTAATTTCCCATTCAATGAATATCTCATACAGGACTCTTGTAATTGTCTCTGCAGTGTTTTCCTCTGGTACTTCAAATGTTTTTAGGCAACGAGAATTAATAGCCAAGCTGCCAGAAGAACCAGTTCTAAGAAAATGAACAGACAATGTTACATAGGATCTATTCTGAGTATGACTGCTCCATATATCAGTTGATATACCACACCATGGAATGTCTGTCAATTCTTTTAACACAACCTCTCTAACAGCAACATATTTTTCAGGAATTCCTTTCGTGCAGAAGTACTTTCTGCAAGGAAGTTCATACCTGGGATCAGCTGTTCTTAAGAGACTCTTAAATGTGGGTTCATCGACAATAGATGGAGGATGTAACCCTTCACAGATTAAACTAATCACTGCTGAGGTCAGCTCTTGATGCTTTTTATTCTCATAATTGTGACTTGTTTTCATAATTAAGTTGTCCTGAACAACCTGCTGAGATGATTCAGGCTTCAGTTTTGAAAATGCAGTTGCAAAAGCCTCTCTCATTTGCTCAGTGTTGCTTTTCACAAATTCACAAAATTCATCTGGATGATTCTTTTCAAGATGGTAAGAGAGATTGGATGTATTTCCTGAATATGCAATCTGTGCCATACAAATGCGGCAGTAGATTTTCTTCCATTGTAATATACATCCCTCTGCATTGGTATCAAAGCCAAAGTACTTCCATACTTTACTCTTTGCTCTTGGGTGGGCCACTAACTTTAGGTCTGATGGGGAAGTTTCCAAAGTTTTATTCTCCATTGCTTCTTAGCCACTGTCCCAACCCCTTTTGATTCTTCACTCATTAATGAGCACCTGATAAAGGCAGCAGATAAACATAACATGAGAAAGGACTGGTTTGTTCAACTGTACAAAATTAATAACAACATTGGAATGTTCCTCTTTGAAAACTGAATACACGCAATACTATTTGTACATGTTTTACGAGTAATAGTTAATCAGAGTTCATGACAAAACATTGGACCAAATTTAACTGCCCTCTGGACAATTTACCTCAAGGTATAATTTTGGGAGGCTCACATGCACAGAAATAGAATAAGTGCAATAGCCTCGATTGCATGTTTAAATTTAAATATATAGAGAAGAGGTCACTACAACACTCTGATGCATTCAAGGATACAACAAAATGTTATCCAATCTCTTCAACACTAAATAAATGTTCATCTCTGATCAATCTCTGCATATCAGGAATCCATGACTTCAAGAATAGTTTGCTGTCCAGGTTCAAGAAAGCTTCTATAGATAATAACTCCAGAAATAACTGCCTTTCCCCCCTGTACCATGAGTAAGAGTGTATTAGGGGCAGATCACACTGACCATAAGAAATACTCACCATGGTAAGTGAAATGTGTGATCCTAAACACATAGTACTGCTTAAGACAATGAGCAAGGAAGCTTTTGATAAACTGAGAATTTATGAAAAAAAAATTTTTTCCCCTTCTTGAGTTTTTCCAATTGTCGTAAGCATGGATGTATTTTTCTGGGTATTATTATGAATATGCTTGAATAGCTCTATTATATTTTTTAATATTTCACAACAATATGACAGAAGCTAACAGCATTTTAATTAACAGAATTTGGAAGCCCATTTGTTGAATGTTCATCTAGAATCTAACTTAAATGCCTTGTGTTAATTGAGAGGCTTATTAGAAATATGAGTTGTGCTGTATTTATTGTGATGCTTTCAGAAATTCAGTTTTATAAAGTCGCCTCAATATGTCCAAATGTGTAAACTGGTCTCTGTGGCTAGAAGTAATTTTGAACTGTTTGCTTTATTTAATGCACATATGAATAAACAAGATGGTTAAAATTCTACAAGCAAGAGGTTTAAACAGAAATTTTAAGAATTCCTCTGAATGTTCACAAGTTCTCCCCAAAAGTCTTTGAAGCACTATATCACAAATTAACATCATAGAAGATGGATCAACCAGTGATAGGTGATCTCAAAAAGGCTAAACTGGACTGAATCTCGTTATAGTCAGATGGGGAGACTACTACAAAATCTAAGAGCTGAAGAGCTATAAACTAGATTTAATAGTTGAAAAACAAGTTGAGTATGATAATTAGAAATCACTTTTATTATTTTCATGAGAATTGCAAGGCATATCCCAAGAGATTGCTAAAAGTTATGTTTAGCCTTTATTTTAAATTGTAATAAATTCATCTGAAATAAATTGTACACAGGTAGTCCTCAACTTACAACCACAATCGAACCCAGAATTTAAGTTGCTAAGTGAGAAATTTGTTAAATGAGTTTTTCCCTACTTTACGACTTTTCTTGCCACATTTGTTAAATGAACGGTTGTTCATTGAATATGGCTTCCCCATTGACTTTGCCTGTCAGAAGGCCATAAAAGATGATCACATAACTCCAGGACACTGCAACTGTCATAAACATGAAAATGAACCAATTGTCATGAATGTAAATCATGTGACCATGGGAATGCTGCAACAGTCATAGGTGTGAAAAATGGTCATATCACTTTTTTCAGTGCTGTTGTAACTTTGAACTGTTGTAAGTCAAGGACTAACTATAATGCAAAGTGCTTAGTTTACAGTGTATACGTGGCGATCTCATTCCCTAATTAGTTTTGGGCAGCTTATTATCATTTACATAACTAATAACTATGCATTTTCCGTAAATGTTTATATTTCTATCAATAAATAACATACAGAAGCACACACCACAAAAAGAGCAGAGGTGTTGCAGTGGTTAGAATGGAGTACTGCAGGCTAATTCACTGCTCACTGTTCAATTCTAACAACTCAGCCTTCCATCCTTCCAAGGTCAGAAAATGAGGACCCAGATTGTTGGGAGCAACATGCTGGCTCTCTAAACCACTTACAGGGGGCTGTAAAGCACTATGAAGTGTGCTAAGTGCTATTGCTATAAAGTTAAAATCTATGGATTTAAAGTTTAAAGTTATTGTTTATAAAAAGGAAAGTCTATGTGTTAGGCAATAAATATGTCTATGTGTAAATATGTATACGTGTAAAGATTGTTGGTACTCAATTTTTTTTACTAAATATGGCAAATCATTTTGCACAAATACCCAGACTTCTTAAATATGCAAGTTATTTTATCACTCATTTACCATTGTCGAAAAATATAGCTCAAGAGACAGGAAAAAATGCACTACTTAGTTTTTCTAGCTCAAGAGATTCACTCTCACTGTCAAGGTATCTTAAAGACTTCTCACAAATGACACATTTACAGCTAATAATGAGGCCATTACTATTATAAATATTCCTCCTGGGCACTTGTAATTACTCTGCTCTGATATATGAATCAAAAGAGGAAAACAGATGTTTTATTTTTCTTTTTTAGAAGTTATAACCAGCATCACAGCTGGCACTTCATAAACTACTTGATAAATGGAACTAATACAGCATTTCCAAACGATAGTTGTCAGTAGCATTTCGGTTGATAAAATTTACCTGACAGGTAACTACCGGTAATAGAGTAATAATAAATGAGTACACGATGCTACTCTTAATAAATGAATATTGTAAAGCATATGGACATTAAGGGCACAAAGGATCTCCATTAGATCCTTTGTGCCCTACAACCACAAGTTCCTGATTGGGTAATAAGGACTATCTTTTGGCTTTCTCCAATAAGAAAATGAAGGTTCAATGCGTATTCTTTTTTTCCTTTTAAATTAGGTTAAAATTTCCTCATCTTCCCTAATAAAATCAAAAACACAAAGTCAAGTTATGGAATCAATTTATTTTTAAGTTCAAAGCTAAGCATTTTCATAAATGAAATAGCCATTTTCCTAAATGTAATAGAGTGACATTATATTTTCTCATAACTTTTAAGCAACATATAAGAATGGGATGTTGCAAAATAGTTAATGTTCTGTAATTCTGAATAACTAGCAGAGTTTTCTCTTGGAACAGAGTCCTAAAACCAAGAGAAAGGAGACAATAAAATAGCCGGCAAAATTTGAAATTTGAAGGCAGAATTTAGAGTAAGAACAAATAAATTGAAACTTATATTTATAATTTTAATTCTATCAAATTATAGCCTTTCAGATAATAATATTGCACATTCGGGAAGAAGAGTGAAAACTGAACATTAGCATCTGATCTGATTACCTGTATTTTTCGGATTATAAGACACCCCTGACTACAAAACACACCTAAATTTAGAAGAGGAAAACAAACAAAAAAAGGTTTTTGGCCTCCATGTACTACATTTTCAGCTCTTGGGGGGGGGGGGTGTTCAGCCCTTTACTAGCCTTTTTTCTACCCATTTTCCAGCCTTTTTTCTACGCCTTTTTGAGACTTTTTTCAGCCAGTTTTTGAGACTTTTTTCAGCCAGTTTTTGAGGCTTTTTTCAGGCCATTTTTCAGGCTTTTTTTGAGCCTCAAAAATGCCCCCCCAAAAGGCCTGAAAATGGGGTATGCAGAGGCCAAAAATAGGCCGGTGGGTGGGCAGTGCTTCGGCAATATTTGGTCTTTAAGATACACAGACATTTTCACCTCATTTGGGGAGACAAAAAGGTACATCTTATAGTCCAAAAATATGATAGTTACCTAAGCAAGAGACTGTAAGACATTGTGGATAGAACTACTGAAAAGGGACAATTTTATTTGCTGCTTTCCCACATCAGGTGAATTTTCTCCTTTGTCGCCTTGGAAACAAAGCGATGCCACTGTTGTTTTTTTCTCAATTGTAAAGGTTCTGGTTCTTTCTTAGTAAATCTTTTACTGTTTGTCAACAATTTGGAATCAAGAGGAATAATGTTTCCTATCTTAGTGCCTAACTTTGAAAGATGGAAAAAGACAGAGCAGTAATAGTTTTTAAAATGTCCTGGTAAAGGGTAATTAAGCCAGTATAAACACATAATGCACAGGTGCTTGCCTTCAACAAAATTCTATAGCCCGAATGGATCCAATTTTTTGCTTTTAGTTTTCAAATCCAGTGAAGATAGAAATCATGGCATTCAATAATTTCATATACCATAGTCCCAGGGATTACAAAACAACAGTATCAAAATTTGTTCTCAGTTTATCTTCTCAATATACTAAGATAATTATGCATTCAAGATAAAATAAGGATAAATTTTATAAAGCTTTCTAAGTTACATGTTGAAATTAAATGTTAGACATGACATATTTAGATTAAATGCAATATAAATATATTACCAAAATACTTTTTAATGAAAATGAAATAATCTACAGGTATGGCCTAGAATCCAGGAGTGTCAAAAGATGCATCATGTGCAAACCACGCCCACCCTGGCTCCACAAAGACAAAAAATATCACAATGTCATGTGACATATCACAATCAAGTTTGACACCCATGGCCTAGACCATTAGTGACATACTACACCAAAATCAACACATTTCAGTCAACCTGTGAATCTGGACTCTACATATTAATTTAAATAAAATCTAAAAATTCACTCTATATCTAGTGTAGTGTCTATTCACATAACATAAATCATGATAAAGTCTGGTTTATCTATGTGTCCAGGATACACTTTCCCTATGCAAGTAGGATACAAATCATTTACCTACAGATTTTTCTAAGGTCCTGAAACTCTAGGGTTCCAAAGAAGTTAAAGAAAAAAAGTTTACACTGAATAGATTATGACAATCTACAACCAAAAGAAGCTTGATCATTCAGTAGAAGGTGATTAGGTGTATTCACAGGTAAACTAGTTTAAGCTATATTGTAGATGGGTAAAATTACTGATCTCAACCATAGAATACTGTAGGTCTAAACAAAGACAATTACATCAATTAACTGCAGTTGTGCAGATCAAGAGCAGTTTAGGTGTGCCTTATTTAGACTATTGTAAGTGGCGTTTTACTTGAAAAGTTTTTGTGCAAAATGTAACTATTGCTTACTGCAAAATATTGCTATCAAAATGAAACTACGGGTTCAGTTCTATCTGCACTAGCAAGGAAGTTACGTTCCGACTTAAATCCCTTATATTACAGCATTTTCATTTTTCTAGTTTGCTAGGATTTATTCTGATGAGTAACTTTAAACAATCTCTTCGTGCGTGACCTACCAACTCTTCCAGCACAGAAACTAAGAAATAGGAAGTTTCAACTGCCATTTCTTGTTTATAAATCCTTGCCCCCTGCACTTTTCGTTATCCAATAAAAGCCCACATGATGCCGAAAAGCAAAGCGACGGCGTTGAGAAGAATCTTTAGCGCCCGTTGCTCCAGCTCCGCCGTGCAATCTACTAACCTGCTTTGGAAACGGAGAGCGGAAAGGGGCGTCGAAACAGCTGCTCCAGGGCTACGCGAAAGCCGATAAAATAGACCCAAAGGGTCGGCATTAGCAGGGACAATAGCGACATGGCTGCCAGGCCCCGCTGACGCTGAGGTCGCCTTGGGATCCCCTTCTCTCCCTTGATCAGTGAAGAGCCAGTTCCCAACCCACCAGGGCAGCCGCGGAGTCGGAACAACTCGGCCAGAAGCCTACTAGGTAGCCACACCCAGCGGAAGAGGATTCCGTCCGCCTCCTCTTAATGGGGCGATCGGGTCCCTTCTGAGCATGTGCGCTGGTGATCGGTATTGTCATCCTTTCGTGTATGGTTTCTCCCTATCGCCCGCTTGTCGCGGCGTTTCGAGAGAAGCTGCGTCCTTTCATCCTTGGAACTGTTAGGCAGACAGAGTATTTTTAAACGGAGTCCTATAATTTCAGCGGTCGTAACAATAAACGGCGGTCTAATCCTGTCCCTGCGTCTCTTTCAGGATTGATTCAGTGTAAAATTGGAATAAGATATAGTAGTGGATCGTAGTATGTTGAAAGGTATCTGGGACTACCTTTCTGAATTAAAAGTGACATAAATATGTTCAAAATGTAAGTTCCACTGAGTTTAAAGGGGAGTAAGGGGACAACTTTAACATTTTAAAACTACAAAGGTAGGTAGGCAATTCGATGCATTATAAAATAGAAATGCAAATATTGGCTGAGTTTAGTGGAAGGTTGCAGACAGTGGGGAAGTGAAATGAGCCTTCTGACATAATAGTTATTTTTAAGCTTTAATAGTGTTGTCTGCCTTGAATGTGTCAAAATTTGTGTTAATTTGTTTCTTAGGTTCCTTCATAACCCATATACACCATTTACCACTCTTCAGAATGGAAAATATTAGGGGACTGTTATATTGCTATTCTTGCCCTTAGGAGGCAATGCAGGTAGTCTTCGATTTATGACCACAGTTGGAGGCCAAAATTTCTGTTGCTAAGTAGGACAGTTGTTAAGTGGATTTTGCCCATTTTACGACCTTTCTTGCCACAGTTATTAAAGGGATCACTACACTTGTTAGTAACACCGTTTTTAAGTGAATCTGGCTTTCCCATTGACTTTGTTTGTCAGAAGGTCACAAAAGGCAGTCACATGATCACAGGACACTGCGCACCATCATAAATCCAGGCCAGGTGCCAAGTGTCTGAATTTTGATAATGTGACCATGGGGCTGATACAATGGTTGTGTGAAAAACAATAAGTCATTTTTTTTCATAAATTTTGAACAGTCACTAAACCACCTGTACCTAAAGACAGGATCTCTGTCTTTTCCTAATCTTATTTCCACTATTAAATCAATCAGACACACCTATGATACTCAACAGAATCCATAAAACAAATATCAATATGCCAATGTTGTGCTCTAATTCCCAATAACCATTGCCAATGTGATAATTTGGATCATGCCATTAGATCAATGCACATTTTAATGTATTTGTTATAATCTATTTTTATAAACCATTAATTTTTTAATGAATGTGATCATTTGGGTCAGGAAATGTATAAAATATGTGCTACCTCCTGAAAAATCCATGGTTAGTCACCAACATTGCACCAACAGAACTAGAGGATAATTTTACATTGTGACATCATTAAAATAAACTTAAAAGAAAGTATAACTTAATGCATCCTATTCTATTATTAACATATGGATGATTGATTAACAAAATGCCATTTAGAAAAATCCTGGAATATGACACCAAGTTATTTTAAATCACATCATTGGTTCTTATAGATCAGTGCTATATAAACTAACAGCAGCTTTCCGGTATCCATGGGAATACCCCCCCCTAAAAAATTAAAAGAACCTTGTCAATTGTATGCATTGTAAATAGGGATGCCATATTTATCAGAGGGCCTATGTTATAATCTGACAGATTACTTAGCAATAATTCTATGCTCATATAAAACCCTAAAGAATTAGCTGAAAATATCAATATATGAGCATTTTTTTGGCAGATCTGATCTGCCCAACAATTTCCTTAGCCACCTAAAAATGCAGCAATTACTAGAAGTCAGAAATTGAAAAAAGACACAATAACTACTGCTTTGTCCCTAGGACAAACACAGCACATCCCAGCAGTCTTTTCAGAGTTCTTTTCAGCCATCATTTGGCAGAAACAAAATCAAGAATGTTTTTGTTATATGTTAAAGCAATCCTGCATAGTTCCCAAAATTGTTTTATATGGTGAATAGGAAAAACTGGCATTGGGCAAGAAAAGAAGCTTTCTGATGGCTAGAGCCACAAAAATCCTGTAGGATAGATTTGGTAAAGAGTGTAACTGAATCCCTTGTGTCAGTGGATTGCTTATCCTGGTTATACATTTACTGTGTTTCTTCAAAAATATAACGGGGGCTTATTTTCTTTTGACCCCTCCCAAAAAAATGGCTAGGCCGTCTTTTCGAGGGATGTCCTAATTTTCCCCCCACATGCCTCGCCTGGGCACCGGGCTGCTTCTTTTGTGGCTGAAAAGACCAAGCGATGCGCCTTGTCTGCCGGCCGCTTCTTTCGTGAACTGGCCATGCATGTGCTTAAATAGGGCCAAATCTTGGTGGTAGGGCTTAATTTCAATGCATGCGCACAAAACAGTGCTGGGCCTTTTTTTGGAGTGGATTGTGTTTTAGGAAAAACATGGTAGCAGCTTAATCAGTACATTATGTATGGTTTAGCGTGATATGTGAACTTGGCAGGGACGTGCAGGCAGGGGAGGCAGAGCCTCACCACTGTCATCATGAAAAGAAAAAAAAATGTAAAAGGAAAAAGGCTGAGGTAGTTGCTGCCAGCATCACAGTGGATGACTCTGCTTAGTACTTAACTGTTTAAAAAAGCCTCTTAAAAAACGCCCTCTACAGGAGGAGGCAGGAAAACCACTTGTCTCATCTAGTCTGACTTTATGATCACTTGAGCAGAGTTAAGAAAGGGTTAAAAGCTGAAAAATTCCTGATGTAGATGAGGCACGTTGTTCTCTTCCCACCAGTACAGGCCAGTGAAAGTCACTTTCTTTCACCCGCCTGTGTCCACGGCAGCCCACCAGCAGAGGTGGATCTCTGCTCCCCACTGCTCCATGCCTCAGGTGCCTCCTGGTGGCCAACCAGCCTCTCTGGTCCCTGCTCTGAGTCTGAA